ATTTGGTTTCATCTTTCCTGATTTTGGCATATCTCCATAACTTCAGTTTCTATAACCCCCAAATCTACATGAATGCTTTGCTTTGCTTGCAAAGAAGGAGTTGCAAAAGTACAGGAGGAGTAGAGATAAGTTCTGTGAGGGGTCTTACAAATCTTAGGAGAACTGTGCCAGGATCAATATTTGCACTAGAAAATGTTTTTACCCCAAGTTTGTGACAGTCACTATTCTGTTTCACTAACTTTCAAAATCCTCTCAAGTCCCAACTCTGCCATGATGGGCAACCTGAACACTTGAGGCAAGTTTACCTTCCCTCTGCACTGTGCCCTGGGATACTTTGAAGCCAATATGCAAACATTTTCCATTATTATGCAGTTCCTCTTTTGCTTCTGAACTCTTTACAGTTGTTTCTATTGCCTTCCCAACTAAATTCATAATTCTTAAAGAGCCCAATTCATGCCAAATATTTCGATTTCTTATTGCCACAGCACTAAGTGTTAAGAAATACAAATTGGGGCCTCTCTGGTGGCACAAGGGGTTAAGACGCAGCAGTATGAAGCTATCCACAGCTTCTGTAGCAAGAGTTCGATCCCCAGCAGGTCAGGAAAGTGACCCACATGGCTCAGCAAACCTCTCCTACCTCACCTCCTTCTACCCTCAGCAGTGTATTTCAGTCAGTCTGCCTGTTCTGTTCCCCACTCTGTCTCTGGTGAAACCTCTCACCCTCCCACTTCTGGTCTGTACCCCAGTTCTTGTATGCATAAATAAATAAATCTTTAAAAAAGAAAGAAAGAAAGAAATTGGATTAAACAGACACTGACCTCATTTAGGGTAAGAAAGGAGAACAAAAGCAATTTGAAAGGACAGAGCACAACAAGCAATAATATGTTGATAAGAGGAATGAGATGGTCAGTTCCTAACAAACAAGGTACATATTCTAACACAGAATGTGTCCCCCTTTTCTAATAATAAAAACCCTGCCTACTAAATGTGTTTGACAGGAGGAAAAGAATGCTGGTGTTTTGATTATCAATTAAGTTGTCATCTCTGGCTAAAATATCTGTTTTTCTGGGACCAGCTTTTGTTTATAAGCAACATTGGTAGAATAAAATACAGAAGTTGCCATTTACTGTTAATTGTACTAGTGTACTAAACAGTGTTCAAAAGACAAGACTCAGGGGTTTACTTTCACTTCCTTTTAATTCTACCTTTTGATTCTTCCTTGTAGGTAGAGGTCCACTCACATGGCCATCATGATGTTTGGGTAACTTAAAAGAAGGGTCTTCATGACTTAGCTCAGAACATAATTCCTTCTGCAGAAGAGGTAGGACAACCCTAAGTATTGCCAGTGGCCAGATGGTGTGTTTGTCACAATCGAGGAAAATGTCTGAAGCGAGGTAGAAAGAGGTAGGAAGCTGGTTATGTGTTATCAGGTGCTGAATGCAGATTGGCCTCTTGATCACAAAGGTCTTCCCAGTTTCCTGCCATCAGCACTTGCCACTCTACTACCAACATCATTATTTAATATGGAATTCCGGTTAAGTTCATACTTTACCCTGTACAGGGCACTGCAAGAATGGGGCCACGGCTCATGTTTTTCAGTAAGGGGACACAACTAGGAGTAGGAAAGTTGAAAGTTGGTGGCTCAAAAGCGTATCTGCTTCTACCCTCCGGAGCAACATGAAGCATGCCTCTGGAGCTTGGTAAAGGTACAGGAGTGCTTACTTCAAAATCCTTCCCAGGGTCTGATTCCCTGCTCATTTTTAAGCATACCTTTCCCCCTCTGAGATTCCCAAGAGACATAGGGTAAACAGCAGGAGAGCTCCTTCTGGGTCCTAGTGGCACCAACGTCTGTTGGCACCGGGTCACATTCCTTTCTAGACTTCACAGGACTCAGGTTACAAAGGCCTCATTGCACAATTCTTAGGAGAGCAGCATGGGGGCTGGGCTGGGATGAGGGGGAGTGCCCTGCATGTGTCAGAGACCTAGGTATGGCCAGAAGCCAAAGCACCCTGAGTGGTGGCTGCAAAAAAGAGAGCCAAATATCTCAGGATGTCTGGTGAGGGAGCTTTCTGTTCTTTTCTTTCTTTTCTTCTCAAGGCTGTTAAATAAGGCGTGTCAGGCTGCATCTTCTCAGGTAATTCGAGGGAAAACATTTCAAAAGTTCACTTGGCATACCTGTGTTTCAGTTTACTGGAGAGATTTGAGACCTCAAAATCCACAACAGAGTACCTGAAACTAAATTCCTTTTATCCCTCTATTTTTCACAAGCTGCATTTTTTCTCCTGCAGTTTTACGCTATAGTATGTGCAAAATTACTCAACATATTGCACAACTTTTGAAATTAATATGGAAGCTGAAAGATTTTACCACAGACTTCTTTAAATCCTATGTAATGAGGGAATGTTCTTTCCTGTTGGTAATCATTTCATAATGATCTTTTATTAAAGGTAATATATGTGGAAAACCAGAAACATCCGGATTATGTTTACAAGGTACGCACTTTTCAGTTGGTTAGCACAATCTAATGCCTAGAAAATATTCATCAGAAATTTGGAACTGATGTCTATGAAAATGAGGACTATATATTCAGGAATTCTTTTTTTCAACATTTTTCTTTCAGATGTTCAGCATTAGGCTGATACATTTTCAATGAATTCTATCATAAAAATTTCCAAGGATCTGCACTTAGGAAGTGACTGGGCTCAAACTTACAAATTAATTGGCAATACAAGACATATATAAAGCAAACCCTGGACAAGTCCAAGACAATTCCTAAATTGTCAAGACAATTCCAACTTAATTATTAGTCCTTAGAATAAGTCAGGAAAGACTCATATAGGAGATATATTAGATAATTATAGAACAATTACAACAGATGTTATAATAACCTTACACCTACCACATGAAATATCTACCCATATATAAATTTGCAGGCTACTCGCGCACACACACACACACACACATCACAGAACACAAAAATACAAAGTGATCTACCTAAAATGGAAAAAGCAAGGCCATAAGAATTCTGTATATTTATTATAAAGCAAAAAGTTTGTTAACTGTGGAAATGTTTTTCTAAAAAATGGATTATTAATCAAGGTTCCAGGCAGAATAGCCTGCCAATTTCCCTGGATTTATTTTCATTGTTATTATATAAGCCATGTGGATTGGGGTTTGGGTGCCTTTTCTTGACTTTGACCAAAGTTTGTCTTGTTTGGAGCTGCAGAGGCTAGGGAAGCTTTGGTGAATAGTGTCACCAATATAGAATATTTGAGTTTACCAAAAAACACATCAAGGTAATAAAATGAGATAGCCTCATCTCAGAATATTTTAACTTAGAAACTAAAATAGCTCAAATATGAACCTAATAAATTCCTTTAGTGTGAATGAGGGGCAGGAAATGTTAAGAGAGACCACCATTCTAAGAGTGAGAAGAAAGGCTTACGTTCTCAACCTAGCTCTGGCTCTATTCAATGACTTAAGTTGAAAACTTGAACTTGAAATGCTGGTTTCCTCTTCTGGAAATGAGGATATTGGAATGTATGATCTCCAGCTCTGAAATTCTGTGGTTTGTGACTAACACAATGGTCAGAGAACATTATAGTCAATAAATGTAAATGTAGATGAGTTAGGACATTCTGTATTTTGTAGATGTTATTTTAGGTTAAATCTAAACTTTGTTTTCAATGACTATAAAATGAACATGCTCTAAAAATGGCAGCAATGAGGTTTAAATATTCAAGGATTTAAGAGGTATCATAAATTTAACTGTGAAAACCATAGTGGCTTCTTTAGATGGAAGTTGAATATGAACTAGAATTAATGTGCAAGTCCATTTTGCTTTTCTGTGATTTAGATGCATTCTTTGGGTCATTGCTACTATTATAATGTGGAAGTACTGATGTTACTGCTGAAATTTGTGACATGTTCAAGGCTAAAGAGGATTGAAATTGCAGGCTGTGGATAGAGTCTTTCTCCTCCCGCTGTTTATTGTCATTGGGTCCCTGGTGGGTAACTAATCTACCTGTGAGAACACTGGGTGCTGCTGCTACTGAGGGAAAACTGCAATAAACTGGGATCTTGCAGGCGAATTCCAGTATGTCTGCCTGGGCAATCTCTGCTCTGGGGTCGCAGTGTACTGAGTCAGGACCTGGCACCCACCCAGCACCCCACCCTGCTGGTAAACAGAACAGCTGTTTGCCGTCACTCAGGGCCCCAGGACTCCAGGAAGAAACAAATACTTTAGAAGCCAAACCCCAAGGCAAGGTAAAGAAAACAACTGTCCACATCACATCCCCAATGATTATTTCACTGGCAGGAATTCTGTGGAGGGGGAGAAGCTGTAGATGGTTCCGGCTGAACTGTTTTACTTATTCCCTAAGCATAAAGCCTTCCTCTCTCACTGTTTACAGGGGGTGACCTTTTGCCTTTTAAGCTTTGGAATTTCAAAACCAGGGTTTAGAATCCACCTCAGTGGCTAACCCATAATACATCTTTTCCTCCTCCTCCCTTTATTACTTTTGATTGTAGTTTTTGTGCTTTTATTAAAATACTTCTTTCAGTAAGCTTATTTTTTGCTTAGTTTACTCTTCCCGATCATTCTGAGCAGAAGCTATTAAAATATCTAGATGAAAGCATAAACATCACCAGAGAGCCAATGTAGACTACTTTAGAAAGTAATGTATACACTGACCTCCTGAAGTACTTGTGCCTTCTTCATTTTTACCAGTGGTTAGGGAGAGATTAGGGAGAGGACAATCTTGGAAATGTCTTTGTGGTTTGACTTCATATTATTAACTCAGGCTACTTCTGGTGGGACCCTCTTTGACCTTTCTTCTGCTTATTTGGAACCTTTACATAACCCCCAAAGTATCTGGTGCATAGACTCTGTGCTTATACTATTATTCTTAAGCCTGGTGACACACTCATCTTGTGGTCCTCTCCTTCTGTTCCTTTAGACACCAGCAATTTCTATTCTGGGCTTAGCAAATGGCACGCACCTGAACAGGAAGCATAGCTGGCTGATTCCTTCTAGCTCTGTCAGGTAGCTTCCCACCTCTAATATATCAAAAGTTGAACCTCCTGTTATCTTCTCCTGAGTAGCCAAGGGTGAGACTGGTTGGATATTGTGATGTCACAAAGTAGAATCCTTGCTCCGCCCAGAGGCCTAGCTGAAACCCTGGTATCCACATTTCCTCTCCTGCCCATGAAGGAAAAGTAGAAGGACGTCCCCTAATTTCTATTTACTCTGCCATTCAAAATCTCTTGTAAGGAAAGAACTTGAAGAACTTCTAGTGGCTACATTCTAGTCTAACTCCCTTATTTTACAGATGAGGAAATTGAGACTTTTGTGGTTAAGTGGCTGAGCTAAATCTAGTACCCATATGTCCTCACTGTTAGTTACCCCCAAAGCTCCCATTACCACACTGCTCTGCTCTCTGGATTTTGTCAACATTTTTTGGTAGGCAAGTAATCAGATGTTTCTCTAACCTGGATCTATTCATGACATCCTTGTATCAATTGCATTATGGGAAGATAACAGTTTCAGCGAAGATCACTTTTCCAACAACTATAGGTGTCAGAAATAGCTCTGATCCTAGCCTGAACTCAGAAATCCCAGACCTCCAGATTAGTCCTATTTTAACAAGTAATGTGATTTAGAAATAATTCATATTTTCATTGAGATTTGACAGTAAGCAAAAACACCTCGAAAGTCCAGAATTAGTCTTGACTACAATGCCGCACCATGTTCTAGTGTTTGTTTAGGAAGGAACAATCAGTGAAGGAATAAATTCTCACAGAAATTTAGTTCTTCTGACGAGTCTCAACAAAAACAAAATAAACAATTCAGTCAAAAAATGGGCAGAAGAACTAAAAAGACACTTCCCCAAAGAGGAAATGAAAATGATCAACAGGCATATGAAAAAATTTTCAACATCTCTTGTAATCAGGGAAATGCAAATCAAAACCACACTGAGATACCACCTTACACCAGTGAGGATGGCACATATTAAAAAACTAGCAACAACAAATATTGGTGAGGATGTGGAGGAAGAAAGAACCCTTCTACACTGCTGGTGGGAATGCAAACTGGTCTAACCACTATGGAAAGCTGCATGGAGATTCCTCAAACTGCTAAAAATGGAGCTTCCATGCAATTCAGCAATTCCATTCCTGGGAATCTACCCAAAGGACACAAAAACATTAATTCAAAAAGACACCTGCACCCCTATGTTTATTGCAGCACTTTTTACAATAGGTAAGCTATGGAAACAACCCAAATGCCCCAAAATAGATGACTGGATCAAAAAGATAGAATATATATACAAAATGGAATATTACTCTGAAATCAAAAAAGATAAACTCATGCCATTCACAGCAACATGGGTGGAGCTGGAAAGGATTAAGCTCGGTGAAATAAGCCAGAAAGAAAAAGAAATATATCAGATGGTTTCACTTATAGGAGGAATGTAGAGGAAACAAATAAGGGATCAGAAAAAAAGTAATTATAATAAATTAAAAAATCAAAATCAACAGGCAACTATAAATCAGAGACATTCTGCAGGGGAGGAGGAGGGAGAAGGATCAAAACAGGGAGGGGAAGAGCGCAAGGGACTATGGTGATGGGAAATGGGTGAATTGGTGGTGGGAATTCTACAGGTACTATACCTGAGAGGAGAAATCACATATTGTACAAAAATGAAGAATGATGTAAAATATATATAAAATAAAAAAGAGAGAAAAAAAGAAATTTAGTTCTTTTCTCTTTCACATTCTTCACTTTTTCTAGACATTGTCCCTATATGGTATTAAAAAAATTATCTGCATTGCATGAGACAACTTGTGTCTGTATGTCAAAGAATTGTGCATTTGGAATCTTTCAAGAGGGAAACATATATTGCGCTTTTATAACACCAACAACTAACATTTTATATCATGCTTTAGCATTTACAAGCCATTTTCACATATATCATTCATTTAATCTTCACAACTCAGTGAGGTAAACAGTGTATTATTTTTAGTACAATTTTATGGGTGAGAAAATTATAGCTTTGAGAGGTTGTGACTTGCACAAGATCACAAAGCTAATTAAGTGGAAAGGGTAACATTAACTACAAACCAGATCTTCCAACCAAGCATTTTCCCCACCACAGGGCTTCCCACAGGGTGGGAGAAATTGTTATTTGGTCCTAGAACACACTTGAAGGCAATTGATTAAGCAATCCCTGAGTAACACAGAAAGGTTATAAATACTTATAAATATCTTCATAAAAACCTAAAGAAATGGCTAAAGAATGCTAATTTTAAGCTTTAAAACAATATAATTATTTTCCACCCAGCAATCCTGCACCTTTGAATTCTCCTCAGGGAATCATCTTGGATTTGAATAATATTTAGCTACAAGAGGTCTTTGAAGTATTGTTTATAATAGAGAAGAAATTAAAAGTTAAATATTCGAAAAGTGATAAAATGAGGCATGCTTAACTCATGAAAATAATGTTGTGAGGTTTTCCCAAATTTTAATCATTTCTGTGCCATGTTTGGAATATTGCCATCTGTACTAATATCCACTTACCATTTTCTTTTAAATTAACTCATACATTTTACTGAAACAAGAGTAGTTAAAGGCAATATTTTATTGTTACACAAGTAGAAATACAGTTTCAATTACCTAAAATGTCACATAACCCTAAAGATAAGTAAAATGAAAACAGTTAAGCAATTAATGTATTAATAATTAACTAGCTCTTCATATCTAGTGGAAAGCATATGATCTATTTAAATTGAATCACAATACTCTTTATTTCTATCACAAACTTCACCTTTCTTCAATAAATTTTTTTTTTCCAGCACTAATCTACAACGGGTTAATAGGGAATGATGTCCATGTCTGATTCCAAATCACAGTTTTACAATTATACTAAATTAGTATTAGTAAGTAAAACTGTCATATTAAACAACTGTCAATGTCCGAATGCAACCCTTTGATGTACCTTAGAAAAGAACATGGATGGTCAGTATATAACAAACCAAACTAGTCCCCATCTGCAATTTTCACAAATAGTTCTCAGGAACCTAGGAAGATTTTAGAAAGTTGTGGGTGATTTTGGCTGTTGCCATAACTAGGGGTTGGAAGGACCATGGGTTTTGTTGGGCCTGGGCCAGAGATGTTTGACAGCTGGTCATACCAGGCGTGGTACCATGTGACCTGTAATTGATAATTGATCCATTGTTCCAAGTGACTAAATGTTCTACAGAAAATCTGTCAGCAAAAAATCTGTTGAGCCAAATTTAAACATTATTTTTAATGTATAATTATCTGCACCAGACTTAAATTCATTTAACATGTAAAGGCGAAAGTTTTGCACCACTTTAATATATGACTGTTTTCACAGAACTGCAACTGCTGTGTACAACAAGGTAAAACCATACTTTATCTTGTGCAGAACTTCACCAAAAAGTGCTTGCAATTTTGTAAAGTCAACATCACCAAGGCCCTGCTGCTGATAGTAGCTGAGTAACCATAAAGCTCACCTCTCTCTGTACTTGCAGCTTGACAGTCTCCGTGAGTCTCTTGTGACTCCATAGTAGATAAGCCCAACTGTGAGAGAGCAGTGGGTCTGGCAGCTTCACCCCCTGACTTCCCTAATAGGGTTACTGGGACTGAAGAGAGGAATAGGGCCAGTTGTTGAACATTAAAAGATCGAACTAGCTGCCCAAATAGGGGCTTTTTCGGCCAGCTCCTGCCTGAGATGGGGGCTGTCTTGACTGGCTTCAGGCCCGTTGCTTCCAGCACTATTTTGGCTGACTCCCACCAGCCACTTAAGAGGGCTATCTTGGCTGGCTATCCTCCTGCAGCTACTGCCTGGAACCAGATTTCAGCTGGAGGCTGTCTGGGGTGGGAAATATGGCACCTGGCCACATTCCAGCCAATAAATTTTCTTTTCCTACAATCTCTCCCTATTCTCCCTCTTTCTTTGTCTCTATGTAAATATACCCTTTTTGTTTCTTCCGTGTCTCCGGGTCGTGACCTGCATTCTGAAGCATGTGGATAAGGGCATACCAACCAGGTCATTCTCTTTCCCCCAGTTTTGTCCCATTTCACAGGCACTTAATTCATTGATTTTTATATCCTTTTATGCAAGTTATTTGGTTTCATTTTACTCCAGTTAGGGCATTCTATTGATTTGAATTAATGGGGTGCCTAGGTAGGAAATCTATGGCTGTGATTATGGGATCAAACAAGCAGAGTTAAAATTTTGCCAATAAAAGGGTACATTAGGTCTAATAGGGTTGGATGGCACCCATCAATTCCCAGCATCTATCAGACACATTCATTGGCACAACTGAGGTCAAGCTGTAATTCACTCATTCTTCATAAAGTCCATTATCACAGTGCTACCTTCTTTTTAGCTTTGTTCCAAGCAACAGTAACTGCAAAATTACAGTTTCAATGTATTAGTTATATTTTTTCAATTACAAACAAAAAAATCATAAAAAATGTTTAAAATGTATACATGTACAGGCACATCTTGAAGATACTGAGAATTCTCTCCCAAGCCACTACAATAAAGCAAATATGGCAATAAAACAAATACATTAATTTTTGGTTTCTCAGTACATTTAAAAGTTATTTTTACATTATACTGAAGTCTGTTAAGTACATAGTAGCATTATTTCTAGAAAAAAAAAGTACCTATCTTAAAAGTATTTTATTGCTAAAAAATGCTAGCCATCATCTGAGCCTTCAGCAAATCATACTCTTTGTGCTGTTGGAGGGTTTTGCTTAAATGTTGATAATTCCTGGCTAATGAGACTGCTGGTTGCTGAATTTTGGGGTTGCTGTGACAAATTCTTGAAATAAGACAACAATGAAATTTGTCACATTGATTGACTCTTCACGGATGATACCTGTGTAGCATAGATGTTGTTTGACTGCAATTTAAACACAGAACTTTTAAAACTGGAGTTAGTCCTCTCAACCATTGCTGCTGCTTTAGCAAATAAGTTTATGTAATGTTTTAGATGCCATGTTATCATTTCAACAGTGCTCATAGAATCTTCATCAGGAGTGAATTCAAAACCATTGTCTTTGTTCATTCATAAGAAACGACT